CAATATATGTATACAATGTGGAATGATCAAATCAGGGTAATCATCACATCAAGCACTTATCATTTACTGGTATTAAGAACATTTGAGGCCGGGCGTGGTGGCTCACGCCTGTAATCTCAGCACTTTGGGAGGCTGAGGCGGGCGGATCACGAGGTCAGGAGATCGAGACCATCCTGGCTAACACGATGAAACCCCGTCTCTACAAAAAAATACAAAAAACTAGCCGGGCGTGCTGGCGGCGCCTGTGGTCCCAGCTACTCGGGAGGCTGAGGCAGGAGAATGGTGTGAACCCAGGAGGCGGAGCTTGCAGTGAGCTGAGATCGTGCCACTGAACTCCAGCCTGGGCGACAGAGCGAGACTCTGTCTCAAAAAAAAAAAAAAAAGAAAAAAAAGAACATTTGAATTCTTCTAGCTATTTTGAACTATACAATACATTGTCATTACTTATTCCTTCTGTCTAGCTCTATTTTTATATCCATTTACCAACATTTGGTTATCAAGATTTTGAGAATACCTGACCAGGGAGGAGAAATATACTTTCATTATTATTTAAAAGTTGATACTACAGAAAATATCAAATACACACAAAAGCAAATAATACCATGAACCCACAATTATCAATCTTTTGCCAATATTGTTTCAACTATTTCCCCCCAACTTTTTTGGAGTATTTTAAAACAAATCTCACATATCATATTTTATGCAGAAAGTATTTCACTATCTATAACAAACAAGGACTTAAAAATAACTGCACTGTCTTACTCCAGCTAACAAAATCAAAAATAATTCCTTTGTGTTGCCAAATATTCAGTCCATCTGAAAATCTCCCCAATGTGTCTCAAATGATGCTTTTATAGCTAGTTTGCTGAGATCACTGCGGGCTTATGGAGCTGGATGCCATTCTAGCACTTCATTGGTATGTGAACCTCAAACTCTCAGTGCATGGAAAGGAAGGAGTTCCAGGACAGAGATGGAAATGCTAGAGATGGTCTATCATGTGAGTCACACCACCCGTTGGGCTGCATCTCCCATGTGACAGCAGCTTTTATAACTAATGTACTGCTAATCTCTCTAGGCCAGAGATGCTGCTGAGAGACGGTTCCACTGCAATGCAGACCTGGTCCTCCATGGAGGTGGGACATCTGTCATGGGAAAGGTGGACACAGTTACTATACCACACAGCAGGGCCAGCTTGGTCATCCGAATGGTTTAACCCATGAAATCTCTGGTTGTGCTGTTAACTGATCTCCGGGTCCCTAGGAACAAAACAGATGAGTGATTCCACTAAGGTATCACAAGATTGTGTAGGACGAACTCTCCAGGGCTGGCGAGCAGAGCCCGACCTGAGCCACCATGACAGAGAAGACAAGGGAGGGCCCTCACTCAACTCCCAGACTCAGGCTTCTTGATGGAGCAGAGCCAGGGAGCCTCAGGGTAGCCATGTTAGTACAAGTCTTCTCCCTAGCTTCTCAAAGAGGACTCCTACCATCCGCCTGGTGACTGTGTCCTCAGGACAGGGAAACTCCCGGCAGCAAACGTAAGTAACACTCTTCCCAAGCCTTTCTGAGTAGGAGAGATTGGCTTTGGCAAGGTAAAGATTTAGCTCGTGTACACTCCCGGTTAGGAGCTAATGGCTTGGCTGAATGGCCTGGAGGAATGTGGAAAGAACAAGATGGGCTGAGGATGGGTTTGGGGAAGGGGTATAACTGGCTACATCAGAATACACGCAAAGCATGAGATGATGTCCATCCTACATGAATCCTTATTGCAAGAGAAACTAATTAATCATCCTGTGGACATGATGTCCCAATGTGCAGCTAGATGCCAGTCTTCCTTCCCAGTCACCTTGATACTTGCTCAGTGGGTTCATAAAAAGGAAAAAAAAAAATAAATAAAGTAAAAAAAAAGAAGCAAGCAAGAAAAAGGCCATGGTGGCAAAAATGGATGCCAAGCCCGGGCTAAACCACAGGAAGTCTGGGCCTTCCCCTCAACAAAGCTGATGATACGGTTCCCTGCAGGCACCAGACAGCCCCTTGTGGAAAGTTGATTGCAGTGGGGCCTTTTCATAATAGAGGGGGTGGTGATTTGTCCCTACTGGAAGGGCCACTTATGCTGGGCTTGGATTTGTTTCCTGCACTGTCAGACCTTTGTGGATCCTCCAGAAGGCCCCGATCCTGTCGCAGCATCTCACATGCCACCCAGGCCCAGAACGTCACACAGAAGGAAGCACATGACTCCATCACACTCAATAATGACCAGATAAAAATCAAATGACAGAGGCAGCTTGGAGACACACCCAGAAGTTGCCATACCGCCCCGGACGGGACGCGGGCTCTGAAGCAGTGAGTAATTTGGAGAGGCTCGCCCACAGCAGAAGATTCAGAGCCGGAAACCAACGGTAAACATAGAAGCAGCTTCTTAGGATCACTTAACAATACACTTGCAAAATGTTTTCTTCCCACCTAGGAACTCTGCTCTGTTGAAACCGAATTTAGTGCCCCTCAAGGGACAAGCACTTCCTCTGGAGTTCATAGTCCTGGCCACAAGGAATTAGAACCAAGGCTGGCCATTTTTGCCTCTTCATACCACTGGGAAAATGAGCACCCACGGAAAATGGGGATGGCTTTTGTGGTCACTGCTACTGTATTTCTCAAATGGACTAATGCAATCGCCTTCAAATCCATCTCCATTCCTCTTCCTTTTCCCCCACAAACTGCCCTCCCTCTCTAAGCATAAATCAGAACATACTATTTTCCTGCGGGCAATGGCTTCACACCACATTTAGAACAAGATCAGCCTCCTCATGACCTGCAGAGCCCTTTCCAGCCTCAGCCCACCTCCCAGCCTGCAACATCCTCGTCTGCCTCTTGCCCCCCGAGCTCCTGTCACTGTTACCTCCTTGCTGAACCTCAGACACATCATGTTTCCTGCATGACTTTGGGCTTCTGATGCTCCTTCTGCTAGGACTTCTCCTCCCTCAGATCTCTGCCTCACTACCTCCTATCCTACTCAGCTGTCCCCAGCATCACCTCCCCCACCTGCTCCTACTCCTCATATTACCCACAGTCATCTTCTCCAGGGCCGTCTCTGGCGCCTTGGCGCATCCTACGTATTGACTTATGGAGAATCTGTTCAAATGCTGAAATGTAAACTTTGCATGATGTTTTATTCTCCACAGCATCCCAACTTTTCTCTTTCCTTCCTTTCCCCACCTTGCCATTCTGGTAGGGATGTGTTGCTTAAATCTGCCTCTGGTTATCAACACTGAAGAGGCACTGCGTGGAACTGGAGGACTGCTTATCTTCAGAGGTCCTAGACTTGGAGGTGTGTGCTGCCACTGATGAAGCTCTGGGTGTCTCCCTCTAGGGAAGAGAGAGCGGGTTCACAGAACAGGTGCATCGTGTTAGAATGACACTCTTTGGAAACGAATGTCCTCTATCCTGTTTTATTTTTCTTTACAGTACTGTCTGCCCTGTTAAATACTTACTTGGCCTCCCTTCACATATAGAAGGCAACGGTCCCTGGAGGCAGATACTCCACCTTTCTCCCTGTTCCATGCCACCAGGCGGTGGACATATCACCTAAGCTCGGACAGCTGAATCCTCCATCCTGGGACCTGAACCCCTGGGTGAGTGACAGACAGACAGTCCCGAACTTCTAATAAATTAACTCCTTATTATAACTCCAATAAGTATACACTTCTCCAAGACAGGGTCTTTAATGAAATGTTTTGTATTTTCAAAGGGCTCACTGGACACCTCCCTAACTCCTGGGACGGTCCCACGGCCAGTCTCCCATCACACGCCTCCACATGGCCAGTCTCCCATCACAGCGACCCTGGTTGCCATCCCTTCCCTGGCCTGGTTCCCCAGCCATCTCATCAATTCTGGGCACACCCGGCACCCTTCCAATAAATTCCCTTTTTGCTCAAGATACATCACACACCGGGGCCTATTGCGGGGAGGGGACAGGGGCGAGGGATAGCATTAGGAGATAGACCTAATGTAAATGACGAGTTAATGGGTACAGCACACCAACATGGCACATGTATACATATGTGACAAACCTGCACATTGTGCACATGTACCCTAGAACTTAAAAGTATAATAAAAAAAAAAGATAGCCAGAGTTAGATGTTGTTGCTTTTCAACAAAAGAACCCCTAAAATTAAAACCTTTTTAAAATAACAACAAAAACCAGTGTTACAGAAAGCAGGGAATAGGCTGTGTGTACACAGGTATGGGGTGGGAGGAGGAGGGCTCTACATTCCTACCACCCTAACAATGCTATTGTTATTTCTGCCTATTCTTTTAAAATCTTCTGCCACATGGGTACACGTTGCCTATTGTTACAAACATGGTATATGTTTTTGATTCAATTGCGTCCCCCAAAAAGATGGTGAAGACTTAACCCTCAGCGCCTATGAGTGTGACCTTATTTGGAAACAGTCTTGGTAGATAATTACATTAAGATGAGGTCATTAAGTTGGGCCCACAAGCAGTAAGCCTGGTGTCTTTACAGAAAGGGGAGATCTGAACACAGACAGACACATGGGAGAATGCCATGTGAACATGAAGGCAGAGATGAGGCAACGCTCGTACGAGCCAAGGAACGCTGAGGGTGCCAGACGCAAGGAAAGCAGCCTGGAGCAGACCCTCCCTCACAGCCCCCAGAAGCAGCGGACCCTGCTGACACGTCGATCTCGAATTTCTAGCCTGGGTCTGGGTTCTTTAGGGATCTCCACATGCAGGAACGACATACACGTACACCACAGGAGGAGCAAACTTCTCAAACCTAAGAGCCACCAGCCTAGCACACAGAGCATCTACCCCAGACAGCAAATGATGCACCATTCTCCTGAGATGAGCCGTCCTCGCTCCCAGACAAACGTGGCCTGGCCCGAGGGAGGCGCGGAGCTGCCGAACCTGCTGCCTCAGGTTAGCTGGAAGCAGTCAGATGGGCCCGTGGCAGCTCTGAAAGGAAGGGACTCTGAGACTCACTGTTGGATGCTCTCATCTGCCGCCGGCGTCCCACACGGTCCAACCCAATGGGGGTGCTCCGGGAGAACGTGAAGGGCCGGAACCGGGCCGACACAGCCTTGTAGGGTGGCACCTGGTGAGCAGGCATGGGCGGCCTGGAAGCCGGCTGCAAAAAGAAAGCAAAATCTGTAAGGAGGTGCCAGGAAGTGGCAGCTCCTGTAAGCACTTCACACGCATAGCTCTCTCACCTCGAAGCCACTCACAGACGTGAAATGGTTTCTCCAATCCTGCCACGAGTTGCAGGCTGCACCGAAGCCCAGTGGCAACTCGTGATGCTACAGTTTTTAACAACCCTGATCGGCTTACTGTCCTGCACCCTGCAGCCTCGTGTTTCATCTCACTTTTCTGCAACATGCCAACAGGTCCCACTAAGGGAAAAAGAAGCTTCTGAGAAGAGGAAGGCACGTTTAGAAAGCAGGGGAGTTGTCACACAGATGCAGGGTCACTAAGGTAAGAAGATGCTTTCCCGGGGTGGCCCTCTGGAGGAAGCCAGGACAAGGCCACAACCCGGCCAGGGAGGCCAACTGTGATCCTCACATCCTTCTTCAGCCTCCTTCCTCCTTTACTCCTCCCTGCCGACACAGAGCCTGGCACAGATGAGCCTTCAGTAAGGATTTGTGGAGCTGAAGGCAAGTCTTGCCTCCCTAAACTCACACAGCAGTGGAGCTTCAGTGAAAAGAAGTGGTTTTCCATGTAGTTGCCCAGGTCTCTCTTAGGGTTTTCTATAATAGCGATCCCTAAAACTGTAAGTCAAAGGCCCAGTTGCTTCATGCGTTCCTTAGATTTCGTTTTTCCTCCTTTTGTTTATTACATGCACATTCTGCTTACGTAATTCCTTAGGTTTTCTTACAATTTTCTCACCCAATTCCCTAAATTAGGCTATAGTACAGAAAATCACTTTTCACATGCCTTTTGGCTGCTGTGAAGGGAAACCCTTTCTAAGGCTCTAGAGCATCCGGGACTGCTGTTCTGAGTTAAAACGCGTGACCATCTGCTTCAGTGCAGAATCATGTCCCAACAGCAGAGCACCTTCGGACAAAAGAGTCTTAAAATTTTCATGGTATTCTGTAACTTAATTTTTTAACCTTAAGAAATCAGTTCAATTTATTTAAGCAAGGGTTTTTGAGTGCTTATTATAAACAAGGCATTGTGTGGGGCTTTACAGGAAAAATGTAAACATATACAATCCAGTACTAGTACTGTATAGGATTTCCCTTTTCAGATAACCTTATGGGTTACTTATGACATCAACTACCAACTTTTGAAAATGAAAGTGGGCATATATATTACTCATATGGTGTTCTGTGAATGTTTACCACGGCCGGGTATTAGCCATCCCAAATAAGCATACACTTCTCCAAGACAGAGTCTTCAATTAAATGTTTTGTATTTTCAAACTGCTCACTGGATACCCGGCTAAATATCTGTTGAATTACTAAACTATAGTAAGAAACCAGTACTAAGTGTTTAATCCATTGTCAAACTATTACTAGTTGCAAAGTTGCAACTCAAAATAAATAAATGAATAAAATGGTAGAAAACAAAATACTTTCTTATCTCCTAAAAAACTGTTTCTTCTTTACATTTTATTTATTTCTTCTTTACATTTTATCTTTACATTTTAACAACAAACAATACTGTCTTTTTCAACAATTTCTTTCAGGAGTGTTACTGAATACGTCCTGCTACCTTTCCCTGGTTAGAATCTCAGGTTATTCAGAAATCAACAGCAAAGGAGTCTTAAGTATTATTTGAGATCCCAGGAAAGAAAGATTAGCAAAAGGCATCCAAACATCAGATGGTTAGCTTGAATTCATGCATGTTTTCACACAGTCAGGAAGAAAAGGTGGTTAAGCATACGGTGCTGCCCTTGAGAACGTGAGAGAAAAAGCAGATCCAGCTTAGTGTGCAGAGAGAACAGAGGCAGGAAGCTGGAGGGCCTCTGCTGGCTTGGGGAAGTGCACACCAGATCTTACTTGGGTCAGAAGACTGTCCAGTTCCTCCGTCTGGTTGGTCCCATACAAGCTGACCCCACCTATCACGGAAATGGGGCGTCTTCTCCGGGCTCCTCTGGGGCAGCCCACCGGAGCATTCTGGTCTTCAGGGCTGGCAGAAGTCAAGCTTGCCTGGGGGTCCTCGTTCACACGGTCTTCCTTCTGGGGGTCTGCAGCAACCGAGTCTTCAGGAATAGACAAACTGCGGCTGGCTAGCTGGCCGTAGTCAGAGAACGGCCGAGGCCTTGGCCGTCTCCCAGAGCCCCATCTCCTCCTGGGGGTTCTCTGTGCCTCTGTCCTTTCCTCATCCTGTGATGAACCTCGCCTCCATGGGCCATCATGGAAGACCTTTCAAATGCGAACAAGTCAGGTGAGCTCAATATCCAGGAAGGTATTCAAAAAGAACAAGCCATACATTCCCTCTCACCGCCACAGCCCTGCCTCGGGTTTTCTTGATTTACTTGTTTATTAGAACAGCTATTTGTGTACTAGAACATGAAGACACAACTAAACCTTAATCAAAATAACCAAATCTATTATTATAGGCTGATTCAATAGGCTGGTATTTCAATAACCATAATTGAAATAGTGGTTTGGTGACCAATGATGAGCTATGATAAAAGGCATTAAGAAAATCAGCACTGGCCGGATGTGGTGGCTCATGTCTGTAATCCCAGCACTTTGGGAGGCCGTAGTGGGCAAATCACTTGAGGTCACAAGTTTGAGACCAGCCGGCCAACATGGTGAAACCCTATCTTTACTAAAATACAAAAACATTAGCCAGGTGTGTGGTGGCAGGTGCCCGTAATCCCAGCTACTTGGGAGGCTGAGGCAGGAGAGTCACTTGAACCCAGGAGGTGGAAGTTGCAGTGAGCTGAAACTGCACCTCTGCACTCCAGCCCGGGTGACAGAACGAGACTCTATCTCAAAAAAAAAAAAAAAAAAAAAGGGGCAGGTGCAGTGGCTCAGGCCTGTAATCCTAGCCCTTTGGGAGGCCAGGTCAGGCGATCGAGACTATCCTGGTGAACACGGTGAAACCCCGTCTCTACTAAAAACACAAAAAGAAATTAGCCGGGCGCGGTGGCGGCCCCTGTAGTCCCAGCTACTCGGGAGGCTGAGGCAGGAGAATGGCCGGAACCCGGGAGGCGGAGCTTGCAGTGAGCCGAGATCGCGCCACTCACTCCAGCCTGGGCGACAGAGCGAGACTCCGTCTCAAAAAAAAAAAAGAAAAGAAAAGTGAATGCGGGGCAAAGAGCAAAGAGCACAGTGTGGGGTTTATAGATACTCTACTCCAACCCCTCATTTTTCAAATCAGGAAAACTGGGACCTAAAGAAGTGACACGACTTGCCCAGGGCCACACAGCTAATCAGTGGCAACAAAGACACAGAACAACGGGCTTCGTGATTTATTTTCCACAAGTTTTCCTGCAAGGCCATGTCACCTCTGCTCAAAAGACAATCCCGTGCAGGTTCCAGCAACTTCCCTCTGCTGCTGCCCACAGATGGCTCCTGCCGGGGCTGCCACCTCTAACTCTGTCTCCACTGACGGCTTCCAGAATAGCACACAAACGGTTGTGAGCTGAAGGCTTTAAGAGAGGAGGCTTTTTTCCCACTGAACTCTTGTTACCTGCCTAAAAGCAGAGCCTCTCAAAAGAACTGAACTGTCACAAATCCCCTCCTGGGAACTGACTGCAACCAGGGAAAAGAGGGGAACCCACACCCACACACTGTCACAAAACTCATGTATTTTCCTGAAAGCCTATTTATCTTTCCTAGAAGCCACTTGTTTTCCCATAAGTTCTCTTCTCCCCTCCTAGTAAGATGCCACATACAGCTTAAACTCTAACCACCTCCTGGAGTCACTTTTTTTTTAAAGCAAAGGAACTGGCTCCCAGGCAGTGACCAGATGCTGGGTACAGGGCCAGGTGAGCTCCAGCAGGTCAGTAGACAGGCCGGAGGGCAGGAAACTCCCCGGGATCACCTGCTTTAAGCAGCATCATGCCCCCTCAGAGTGGCCAAGCAGCCAGTAGAGCACAGCAAAACCAACTGCTGGCCGGGTGCAGCAGTGGCATCACAGGCCGGTAATCCCAGCACACCTTGGGAGGCGCCAGGCAGGAAGGATTGCTTGAGCCCAGGAGTTTCGAGAAGCCAGGCCCTGGCAACCACAGTGACAATGTCATCTCTAAATAAAATAAATAATAATAAATATAGGCCAGGGCGTGGTTGCATGTGCCTGTGGTCCGCAGGGCTACTTGGAGGCCCCGCGAGGAAGGAAGGATTGGGCTTGAGCCCCAGGCAGGTGGAAGGCTGCAGTGAGGCCATGATTTGCACCTACTGCAATGGGGGACAAGGCAAGACCATTGTCAAAAAAAAAAAAAAAAAAAGAGAAAACAACTGTAATCTCTAATGTTCCACGTATTTAATAACAAGTTCGCAA